TTGCTGGATCAGCCTAAAACCACGACATAGTGCTAATAGACAAACGTTTGAGCCTTGAACATCCCCAGCTCACATTCTGCAGGCCAGCAACTCTTGTCTGTCCGTTATTTTCAGCAGCAAATGCACCCATGCATTTCATTTTCTGCTGGAGCCACTGCTCAGACAGTAGAAGAGTCGATATACCTTAGCTAGCCACCCACAACTTCAGACTTCCCTTCCTTTCCCTGTTTAAGGAGGATACTGGTGTAGCAAGCATTGCTGACTATCTCCAGGCACAGTGAAGCCAAGCCATGCCCCAACAGGGAAGACTTTTTTTTCCTTCCTCTCTTCCTTTACCCTTGCAGACTCTTAAAGGGCTAACTGCCCCCAAACACATGGAGGTGACTCACCTACTCTGAATGGATTTTTCCCATTCATGCCAGCTAGAAAGAATATTGGTTTTTGGGGTGGGATTAACAAGCTATTCTGGTACCTCAGTGAAACCACTGGCACACAAAGAATTTGGCCAGGATATAGGAGCTAACCCACAGATCTTGTGAAAAATGCTGTAAAATCTTTAGAGAAGTGATGCTCGTTTTACATCTCAGCCAAAAGATGTCAGGCGTTCTGACAGAGGTTAAGACAGATTGTCAAAAGCCGGCAACTGGGACACAATAAGCATAGGGACTTAGGTGGACTACAGCCAGCATTAATCTCGGTCACAGCGTCCCTTGGCACCATGACAGGAAAATGTGGTGGCTCAGCACGGGGGACTTGTGTTAGTTGGACACAGGCACGCTTCACGTGGACTAGCAGGCTCCGAGTTTTCCTTAGGTCATCTTCCGGCCAAGGGCTCAGGAGCCCCAGCTGTCATGGAGAAGGCTTAGAAGGGTCCAGAGCCCCATCATGGCTGCAGCCCACGTGTGAAATGTGTGACATTCCCATTCCTGTACGGTACCTTTGTTGTTGCAGGCGATCCATTTCACATTGGGAGCAAAAGTGACCTCCCGTCCAATGAGGTAAGTGAAAACCCGGACCTGGGAACAGGAACACAAAGACAGAAGAATTAGGCTGTAATGTGCTACCAAATCCAAATAACTGAGGTTTGGTGTCCTGCTATATGCTGGGGTGAACGCCCATCCGTGGTGCACAGCAATAGCTCTGCCTTCACATGGAGACAGGAGCCTCTTGCTCCATTTGTTTTGCATTTTGTGGCCTGGAACTTAATTTCCAATTACAAGAAGCCCAGAAAGCCAAGTAGCACCCGGGATCATCCGAATAACAAGGCAGAAGTGCAAATCCTGTTTGTTTTTATGATAGCAGCTCTGCCAGGCACTCAGCAACGGCATGCAGAGAGGTTTATAGCTCACCAGAATCCTTCACCCAGGGGAAGAGCTGGCTGCAAGAATCATTTAGAGAAAGCTTCACCATCTCTCGTGTTTGACCAACAACAAAAGAGTCAATCCTGAGTCAAAAGAGTCAATAAACTGCTTTTACAGCCCCATGCTCTGATCTCTCAGCAGCCTGCTTCTCTCCCTTTGTACATTGCTGCTAGCTGGGAAGAAGTAAACAAATAAATCAGGAGGGTTTAGGACAGGCCATGGTCCATCCCACTTTCACAGTGTGCTCTGCTAGTACGAGCCTCTAGTCACAGGTCTCAATGTAAATAGGACTGGAAGGCACCTAGACAGGTTGTCTGGGTCATTCCCCTGCCCTCCATAAGAACTGGTAATAGCCAAACCTTTCCCAAACAGTATCGATTGTAAACAGTCCTGGATGGGATTAAAAATCTTTGCAATTTATTTATTTATTAATTTTTAAATACTCATTTCAGTCTTTATCATCTCATCAGGAGAATATTTTTATTGCTCATACCTTTAGAAAACAAAGTGTATGAATAAAAAAAATCTTCACTGTCCTACAGATAACCCTTTGTGATCCTACCACCTCTAAAATACTGCAGCAGGCTCCTGCCTGGCAGCTTTATTTGGTGTTTACAGCTGGATGCACAGGGTCATTGGAGGATGTGAATGCTCCTCTCTGCCCGTTGTTCTGGCTCGTGCTCTTCTATTCCCACCATAGCAGGACAGCACCTTTCCTCACCCTTTCTATTTATCACTTCCCAGACAAACCTTCCGATCTGGCCAGTTGTATTTTTCAAACACAGCTTCATAATCCTCCACTGCTCCATCTGTGATCAGCATGATAGCTTGGTTACACAAGCCTCCTTGACCGGCATCTCTGAACTACAAACAGAGAGGAAGAGCACTCGTTATCTCAGCACAGGCCATTTTTGGAGTAATTGCAGTGTATTTATCCATGATGGGCCAGATCCTGACTCCATGCAAATCTCACACTGTGCTTAGAAAGAGCTCTGCTTAAATCAGGACTGTGTATAATGCATTCAATTTTTTTTATTATTTATACAGCCCTTCTTAGCACATTTGGACACAGGAGGCTTTACAGAAGTAAAATAATAAGAAGAAAAGTGCTGTGGAGGAAGGTTGCGATTCCCTTCTGCCTCACATCTTGCACAGTCACATTCGTTTATGCAAAATGACTATAGACAGACCATAAACACTGCAATTCTGATTTGACAGCAATAACTGTCACTTTTTATGGCAGAAAATGTGAGAGGAGGGGGAAATCAGACTCATTATTTCAGGGTAAATCCATCAATCTGCCAAAAAAAAATAGCAGAGAAGAGCAGGAACGCATGAAAAAGAAGGCTACTGCCGTCAGAGCTGGAATAGGTTATGAATGTGCCGGACAGAAAGGCCGTACACTGTAATGACAGATGATCTGTTGTCTGTGCATGAGTGATGTTTAAGGTAGAGTGGAAGTATGCTGAAGTATCACTGAAGTACCTGTTGCTCTACTGCAGTAAGTATGGATTCAACAGCTTCTGAATGACCACACGTACGAACCCATCTCGCCCCGTTTCTTGTATCACTGGCTGGAATCAGTACGGATGATCACGAGAGGGAAGGGTGGTGTAATAAGGTCATTTCTAGCTGTTCTCAGGGAAAACATCCATGTGAACTACTGAGTCAGGATGAGGGGCTAGGCATGCTCCTCCTCTTTCCTATCACCAGAGCAGCACGTTCAGAGGGGCGACGGACTCTACGTCTGCTGCTGCAGTCATGCCAACCCAGCAGTGGGGATCTCCCATGTCTTTCTTCATAGAGTCCTCAAGGTCTGATGTTTCCAGTGGTCCAAAAACTTCTACACTTTGTACCATGGAAAAAAACTCCATCAGTGCCAGCTACGGGGTAACTGGAGCTCCAAGAGCGGTCAGAGCACAAGTGCCCCTTGCTCAGAAAGGAAACTCCAAGGCAAAGGCTGAGGGTGCACAACAGGAACAAGCACAGAATGCTCTTCGGTGCAAAAGAACGGGGAAAAAGGAATTGACAGCCGCGTAGGATTCTGCTGCAGACCATCAGGTAGGAAAAAGCTCAAGGGAGCTATTCTTAGGACAGAGATCAACTGCGTGCAATTAGCAGGAAGAACGGCTAGTGTGAGTGTCCATTAGGAGGCACAGGGTGGCGATGATGCAGAGGATGGTGTCAGAAGGAGGTTCAGATCACAGATACGTCAACCTCGTAGTTACGAAAGCAGCTTATTCCAGACTATTGCAATCTATGTGTTTTGTTTAGATGACTATTAAATTAACACTTAATTAAGGTCAGCCACCATTTCATCAAACTTCTTAAGACATCTCTTCATGTAGCTTACTTCAGACCTCATAATACTGAGATACTGAGAAATTAGATGCTGTATCAGAACCAGCAATCTCCTAATTACAGGACTAGATGATATTTTCAACAGGGAAAATGAGATCATCAGTGTCATAGAAACAGAGATTTAAAAGACAGATTTAGAAAACAAACGAACAAGAGGTAATCCCTGATTTTTAGGTCCTTTTGTGGCTGGCTGCAGCTGTAGCAAATGATCTGGCAGCATTCACTTCAAGCTCTGAGCATAATTCCCCACTCTGACTGAAGTCTCAGCAACGCGAAAGAAGGGGAGATGACGAACAAGGTGTCCACAGAACATATGTCTGAAGAGATGCAGGCTAGAGCTGCGGTTGATGAATGAGGCATGGAGCTACGTATTCTCCTGTATGACTTTGGTCACGTTGCCAGGAGTAACAGGCATGATCTAATTAATTCAGGGTCATAGTCTCTTGTACTCTCTTGTTTGCTCATTGCCATTTGCTTTGCAGTTATAGCCTGGCACAGAGTTACTAGTGAAGCAATAGGAACATCAGCATAGCTCAGTGATGTTCAGGCCACACATCTGGCCAGATGACTGAGCAGCCCCTCTCCGTCTCCTCCTGCCCTGTTCTTATCCAGACCTGCCTCCGGAGTGGCCTCCAGAATTACTGAGAATTCAAACTTAGTGGAAAGCATCTCATGGGGAGAAAAGTAGCAGTAGAGAAGGAAATGAGAGATGGCAGTAAGCAAAATGGCCTAAACTGCTAAACAGGAAATACTGAGCTTTGCATATCCTGAAAAATATGCTGCAGAATCCAGGTCCATAAAATTGTGAGTGGAATCAAGAAAACATTCAGAGGAGAAGCAAGAAAGAGAGTAAAAGGAGTATGTTGCCAGATGATAAAAAAAAGAGGGAAATGGTCAGGCAGAGATGCTTTATAGCCTCCACACTTCATCAGCAAAAGGGCAATATTGTAACGGCTGGGTACATGCTGAAGCGATAAGAACCAAAGAAAAGAATGAATGAATTACAGGCAGGGTCACAAAGTGGTTGAATTAAAGAAAAAGCT